TACCTATTGGTATTCCTATAGGTGGGACAGTCTACACTCTGGAACAGTGTATTTACAGTAGGTGGGACAGTCTACACTCTGGAACAGTGTATTTACAGTAGGTGGGACAGTCTACACTCTGGGACAGTCTATACTCTGGAACAGTGTATTTACAGTAGGTGGGACAGTCTACACTCTGGAACAGTGTATTTACAGTAGGTGGGACAGTCTACACTCTGGAACATTGTATTTACAGTAGGTGGGACAGTCTACACTCTGGAACAGTGTATTTACAGTAGGTGGGACAGTCTACACTCTGGAACAGTGTATTTACAGTAGGTGGGACAGTCTACACTCTGGAACAGCAGATTGATTGGCGGTGTGTCTCTGCAGCTGTTTGCTCGTCTGGAGGCTCGTCGCTGTCTGAAGGACATCGAACCTCGTCTGTTTCCTGAAGATGGAGGACCCGACCATGGTGACTCAACACGCCCACTTCCTGTCAGCACATGTCACATGACATCAGTGATAAAAAATAAGACGTTATTGATGATGCATGTTAACAGTGTTTGACCAGCTGACCTGTGTTTGACTCAGGTGAGGTGGTGGAGCTCTATGGAACAGAGGGAACAGGTGAGTTCACTGCTCACAGGAGCTTTCTGCTGTCTTTGGTAAATGAGCGTGATATCGTTAAGCCGATAATAGTTTCTTCTAAATGCAGGATAAAAAGTGATGCACAGGCAGCTATCAGTCCGCCCACAGTGTACCCTCTGCTGTATTAAATGCCACGCGGTCGTTAGCGGCCGCTTTAGCAACATGTAAAACCACCTGTCCATCAAGAAATGTATGTGCGAGACGTCGTGAACAACCTCCAAAAACTGGAAGAGTAGTCTAGAACAGAGCGGTCGAATACTGAGCAGGTGACCTTACAGTGAAAGTAGAACAAAAACAGTAGAGCGCCAGTGTTCAGCAGACTGAAGCTTTCTACTCACAGGAAGTACTTTACTCACCTCTGACCTGGTTTGGACTTCCTGTCACTGGTGTGTGTCTCAGGTAAGACGGAGCTGCTCTACCACCTGCTGTGTCGCTGTGTGCTGCCGGTGGCGAGCGGCGGTCTGGAGGTGGACGTTGTGTTCGTGGACACCGACTACAGTCTGGACATGTTACGGCTGGTCAGCATCCTGGACAGCAGGCTGAACACAGGTACACACACCAACGAAGAAGAAGCACCACAGTATAAAAATGTAGTTAATGTAAATGTTCTCTCTCTCTCTGTCCGTCCAGCTCGCTCGACTGGCTCGCCCTCGGCGGCCTCAGATGAGGCGGCTTTGCGTTCGTGTCTGTCTCGCCTGCTGGTCGTCCACTGCTCCTCCTCCTCCCAGCTCCTCCTCACCCTCCATTTCCTGGAGACCTCCTTGTCGTCACGGCCCGGCCTGGCGCTCCTCCTCATCGACAGCATCTCCGCTTTCTATTGGCTGGACCGATGTGAGGGCGGGGCCAGCGTCACCAAGCAGGAAGAGAAGCTCAGCAAGTGTGCAGAGCTGCTAGGCCGACTGCTCAGGTAGCTATTCATCAGTTAGGAGGTTCTAGTTGGCAAGTAGTGGTCCATTAGGAGGTTTTTAGGAGGTTGGGTGTTTTTTGTGGTCAATGAGGAGGCTCTAGGGGTCATTAAGGAGGTTCTAGAGACCCTATGGGTGGTTTTTGTGGTCACTGAGGAGGCTCTAGGGGTCATTAAGGAGGTTCTAGAGACCCTATGGGTGGTTTTGTGGTCAATGAGGAGGCTCTAGGGGACCTTTAGTTTTAGGGGTCGTTAATGTAGTTGGACGACGGTTCTTGTGGTTAATGAGGAAGTTCTAGTTGTCCTGTAGTGGTTCTACTGGTCCATTATGAAGTTCAAATGGTCATTGGGGCAGTTTAAGGGGTCCCATATGTGGTTCTAGTAATCACTGAGGAGGTTCTAGTAGCCAGTGAAGAGGTTCTGATGGCCACTAAGATGTTCTAGGGATCTCAGCTGGTTGAGCAGTTCTAGCTGTTATTGAGCTTGTTCTAGTCGATATTAAGGATGTTCTAGAGAATCTTTGTTGATGTTGTCACTGAGGTTCTGGTATGGTTCTACCTTTACCAGCTTTGTTGGTTGGAACCGTCTCATGTGTGGCTCCTCCTCTCAGGGATTACAGAATCACTGTCTTCGCCACCTGCCACGCCATCAGGAGGAGCTTCAGTGGACCCTCCTCCTCCTGACCACGACCGGCCGTACCTCTGTCGCCCCTGGCAGCGGCTGGTGACCCATCGGCTGCTTTGCTCCAGGCAGGAGGCGGCAAACAACATGGCCGCTGCAGCAGGAAGCAGCGAGGAGCAGAGGAGACGGCAGGTCTTCACCATCCACTGCACCTCCTCCTCCTCCTCCTCCAGGACGAAGGCTTCCCGGAGCAGCTCCTTCCACGTGACAGATAGAGGAGTGGAGTTTATCTGACCTGTGTCCTCCAGACGGTCCCTGAGAAGCTGTCAACGACCCTGATGCTGCTGTTTTCATGTTCTTTTAAATGATAAAGTTCTTTATATGTTTGGGTTCTGTATATTTGTCAATAAACGTTTGTTGGGAACCACGAGCTGTTGTTGTTGTTGTTCATGGCTCCTCACTCGCCCTGGTTCCTGCTCTGGCCCTGCTGCTCTTTACTCCACATGTTCAACAGATTTTAAACTAAAGTGTAGCGGCGTTTAAAGGACCCAGCGCTCGCTGCTTCACTGGTACATAGACACATGTAGATGGTTATTGACCGGGGTTCCCACGGCTCCTTACAGAGTCTCAAAAGGTCAGAAATGGTCTTAAATGTACCCTGAATTTGCTGTAGTTATTAAATTTGTTGATGTTGCTTTACTTTCCTACCATAAACGTCTAATGAGCGTGTATTTGTCAGATTAACAGTATTAGACGATGTGAGACCCCGCCGTTAATATTAGGTTTACGATAGCTGCAGAGGTTGATGTCTGGCTGCGGGTCATATTTTCTAAAATGCTCCAGCGGTATGCAGCGGCTACTTGTAGGGCTATGCTGATGTCCGCGTTTTTTGCATGTAAATTATATTTGTTGAGGTCTTGAAAAGGTTTTAAAAAGCATTGAACGCGACTTTAAAAATGGTGCAAGAACCCTGCTGACAGCTACCTCTCGCCGCTCTGTGGGGCGAGAGCCAGCAAGGCCGTCGCTCCGTGAATAATAATAAAGAAAAAGTCCCAAACCCATAAAAGTGTGCAGCGTGTTTGAGCCTATCACTCTCCAGGAGGTCAGTTTAAGGCTCAGGTTCAGGGGGACAGCGGCCCGGGGTTCCCGGGGAGTCCCTGAGGGCTGGCCTGTCCCCCCGTCACATCGTCCAGTGTGCGAGTTCAGAGCTGACGTTACCGTGGTTAGAAAAAGAAGCTTACATGGATTTAAGGTGGAACGTAGAACAGGTGAAATGAGAGGAATCACCTCGTTTATTCAACGATCATGTCAGTTATTGCTTAATGATTATTGACAGTTAACCTGTCGTCCACTCTGTGGGGCGAGAGCCTGCATGTACATCAGGCAGCAGGAAGGAGTCATCGAGGAGACGTGGGGAGGAGGAAGCTTCAGATGAGCCAGCTGACAGCTTTCAGTTTAAACCCCCCAAACACATGTTCATCGTGTGCACAGGTAGACGGGCAGGTGGGCCGGCCAATCACTTGATTGGTGATTTACAGTATCGGCGTTACATTTCAAATAACAGTTCAAGGAGGTTCCAGGGGTCCTTGAGAGGTTCTTGTGGTCAGTGAAAATTGGAGATTTTCTATAGGTGGTTCTTTGGTAATCAAGGAGGTTCTAGAGATCATTTATGATGTTGGGTGGTTCTACTGGTCATACAGGAGGTTCTAGAGGCCATTTAGGTGGTTGATGTTTTCACTTAGGGGCTCTAGTGGTCATTAAGGAGGTTCTAGTGGTCATTTAGATGGTTGTGGTCCTATATGGTTCTAGTGGTCACTGAGGAGGTTCTAGTGGTCATTTAGACAGTTGTGGTCCTATATATGGTTCTAGTGGTCATTAAGGAGGTTCTAGTGGTCTTTTAGGTGGTTGTGGTCCTATATGTGGTTCAAGTGACCACTGAGGAGGTTCTAGTAGTCACACAGGAAGTTCTAGCGGTCATTTAGGCGGTTGTGGTCCTATATGTGGTTCTAGTGGTCACTGGGGAGGTTCCAGGGGTCCTTGAGAGGTTCTTGTGGTCAGTGAAAATTGTAGAGTCTCTTTAATTGGTTCTATTGGTAATGAAGGAGGTTCTAATTTATGAGATTGGGTGGTTCTAGTGACCCCTGAGGAGGTTAAAGTGATCATAAAGGTTCTGATTCTTACGGTGGTATTAGTGGTTATTAAGGTGGGATCTTGAGGCCCTTTAGGTGGTTGGGTGTTAGTGCTTTTGAAGATGTTCTAAGGATCCCTTAGGATCTTGTGGTTATTGATTATTGTAGAGTTCCTCTATGTGGCGGTCATACAGTGGTTCTAGTGGTCACCGAGGAGGTTCTAGTGGTCATAAAGGTTCTGATTCTTACGGTGGTTCTAGTGGTCATTAAGGATGTTCTAGAGGCCATTTAGGTGGTTGTGGTCCTATATGTGGTTCTAGTGGTCCTTTAGAGGTTCTCGTAGTCAGTGAAAATTGTGACTTTAGGTGGTTCTGTTGGTAATCAAGGAGGTTCTAGAGGTCCTTTAGGTGGTTCTAGTGGCCTGAGGTTCTAGGGATCTTGGGTGACTGAGCGGTTCTGAGGTTGTTCTAGTCACATTAAGGAGGTTCTACAGACATAAACACTCACATTAGAAAACACACGTTCGGGTGGGCCAGCCAATCATCTGATTAGTCGTTGTGTTTATGTGATTTACAGTTCCGGTGTTACATTTCAAAATAAGAGATCATAAATGCCTAATAAACAATAATCACGTGTTTAATAAAAAGGGGTGCGTATTGATCACAGACTGTTTTATTTAATTATATTTGTATTGATTAGCAGTCCGGATCCTGGTCGCGTATCCGGTCCGGGACTTCAGGTCTGATGACAGAGACCGCTTCACCGGAGCAGCCCCTCCACCGGATCCCTCCGCGGGGTCAGAAACACTTTTTACACAACACAAACAAACGGACCCGGACTGAGGCGGACCCGGAGACCCCTACACGTCTTAAAGTCTTGCTCCCGGTGCGCGCCACCTCTATCCACAAGCTCGACCCGGTCCACGGTTCTGGTCCGGGACAGTGGTCCATGTTCAGTGGGACCTACTTCTCCTGCTGGCGCTGACAGGCGGTGCTTCGGTCGCTCCCAAACATGGCCTCCATGACGGAGCGACCGCTTCAACTTTAATTTGTCGCCAGTTTTTCAGCGCAAAAACCGTGTTTTTCTCTTCCTTCCGCGATTAAAGGGATGTTCCGTCTGGACCCGGTACCATGCCGGACTCTGTGACCCGGACGCGGTCTCCCGGAGAAGTTCGCTGCTGGATTTAAGAACTGATCTCGGTTTGAAGTTGTCTGGAAAGCTGGAGAGGAAAAAGAGAACCGCATCAAATCAGTAAGACGCTTCTCCTCCTCCTCCTCCTCCTCCTCCTTCTCCTCCTGTCTGCAGCTCCCTGCTCACACCTGGCGCCAGGTGTGAGCACCGAAACACACCGTGAATACGCGCGCGGAGGAGCCGGGCTGCACTCGGTTCTGGTTCGGCGCTAACAGCTAGCCTAGCCAGCTAATGCTAATGCTAACAGAGAAGTGATCAGTCAACTGGGCGGTCCGAGGGAAGCTAACGGCTAACGGCTAGCTGCTCCGCGGTTCGGTGTGATTTACGGAGCCACCGCTTCGCACACCTGACACCCGAGCCGCTGCGCCGCCAGGTGAAGCGTGTGTGCACGCGCTGTGATGACAACAGCCAGGTAAAGGTGGATCATCGGACGGATCCCGGTCCAACTGCTCTGACAGATGGTCCATTAGCATGTTAGCTCTCGCATCCTGAGCACGCACCGCTGACCTGATATGTTTATGTGTACATGTTTGTATGGTGCTGTGCTAAGCTAACTGTGTGCTAGCCGTCACGCTGCACCTGCTGTTTGTTTCCTCCACTTGTTTTTATAGGAGTTAGACCCAGTGGGACCCAGTGGGACCGGCTCCCCTCGGGGACCCCAGGACCTGGTGCACCTGCTGAACGGCTAATGCTAACGCTAGCTGTGTGACTGTAATACTAACAGTAACGATCTGACCTCCGGTGGTTGGACGGTTAGTGGTGTTTGCTTGTGTTGAGTTCTCTCAGCCACCGTAGTTTGGTGACAGGAGCTCCTCTGGACCTGGACCTGGACTCGGGTTACCTGTGTGCTGTGTCTGGGCTCTGCAGTGGCTCCCTCAGTGTCTGGGTTTAATACCTTCATCATCCTCGTCTTCGTCGTCGTCTCCTGTCTGACAGCCTGAACACCAGGTGTTCCCGCCTCCTGGCCCCTGGGGGACACGCTGCACGTGACGCAGCAGCCGCTCTGATCATTTAACTGTTGTCCAGTTTTAGGAGGAGACGAACGGGACAGGGAGCGCTCTGCAGGGACGGAGGTCACTTTGTCTGTGTGAGCTGTGATTGGCTGCAGGAGCCCACAGTCATAATGATTGACATGTTGTCAGTGTGCTCCAGTCTACTTTACTGGACTGTAGTGGACTCTGAGCTCCAGCCGGGTCTCAGGGTCCGGCTCCAGTCTACTTTACTGGACTGTAGTGGACTCTGAGCTCCAGCTGGGTCTCAGGGTCCGGCTCCAGTCTACTTTACTGGACTCTAGTGGACTCTGAGCTCCAGCAGGGTCTCAGGGTCCGGCTCCAGTCTACTTGACTGGACTCTAGTGGACTCTGAGCTCCAGCTGGGTCTCAGGGTCCGGCTCCAGTCTACTTTACTGGACTGTAGTGGACTCTGAGCTCCAGCTGGGTCTCAGGGTCCGGCTCCAGTCTACTTTACTGGACTCTAGTGGACTCTGAGCTCCAGCTGGGTCTCAGGGTCCGGCTCCAGTCTACTTTACTGGACTCTAGTGGACTCTGAGCTCCAGCCGGGTCTCAGGGTCCGGCTCCAGTCTACTTTACTGGACTGTAGTGGACTCTGAGCTCCAGCTGGGTCTCAGGGTCCGGCTCCAGTCTACTTTACTGGACTGTAGTGGACTCCAGTGCTGATGCGGATCTGTTCTCAGGGTGGTTGTTGGCCAGTAAACTCCTACGGTCTCGGAGGGCACTAGAGCTGTGGGTTCTCCGGTTCTTCTCAGATCCGCCGTGTCTCGAGTGAAGGAACCGACCGGGTCAGAACGCCTGCCGTTAAGCGTAGGAGTAAAACAGGAAGTTAAGGCAGGAGCGGAGAGAACAAGACCACTTCCTGTAGAGGGTCTCTGTTCACATGTGAGTCTGATTCATCAGGACTGAACCGGCGGGTCCAGGTCTTCAGACACTTCCTGTGTCCTCCAGGTGGCGCTATACCCACAACTGACCTTTGTCTTAATTAAATAACAACAACAAGACGGCGAGCGAGGACAGGAAGTGATGATGCCTAACAGTCAGGTGGTGTGACGGTCCCTCTGAGTCCACGTGACATCTTCACACGTCTGGTTGTGGTCGTGTTCAGTCTGCTGAGGGAGGAAACAGGAAGTCCTCGCCGTCTAAAGGCTGACAACACGTGCACGCCGCTCCTGAAGGCGGCTGTGAGAGATGTAACTGGACGATGGCGACACGCCTCCATCACACCTGTTCAGCTGTGGCGTCAGGAAGCTGTGATGTAATAATCATGTCTCTCTCTCTGTCTCTGTTTCTACCCAGAATGCCATCTGAGGCTCAGTCTCAGGAGCCTCGGGACAGAGGACCGCCGCCTCCCGTCACCCGCGCCGGGCGCAGCGCTCAGCTGGCCAAAGCCGCCGCCGCTACTAGCCCCGCCGCCGAGAGGCGGCCTCGTGGGAGACCTCGGAAAGATGGGAGCAGCGGCCGTTCTGCGCCTCCCACCCCTCCACCTCCGCCGCCGCCTGCTCCTCCTCCGCCGCCACCTCCAAAATCAAGGAAGAAGTAAGTCAGAGCGCCGCGATGTGCTCCTGGTGACGCCGTGACACCATGTGACACACACACACACCACAAGGCGAGTGCAGAAACCAACAGGAAAGACGATTGTGTTCAGGTGTGTTAGTGGGCGTGGCCTAATGTGGCGCCGCAGCTGCAGTCGCACTCTTTTGCTGTTTCAGAGCTGGAATTTCCAACTTTCAAATGCAGCGCTGTGTGTGTGTGTGTGTGTGTGTGTGTTGTGGTGAAGGAGACGTGTTGCAGAGGAAGTGGTTAAGTTGCATGCTGGGTAGTGCGCAGCGAGGAGGAGGGGAAGTGAACTGGACTGAGTCTGCTCCAGGTTTTACCTCCTGCTGCTCTCTGTCTCTCTCTCTCTGCTGTGATGTCATCATGGTGACCTGAACACTTGGTCAGGTGACATCAGCAGCTCCTCAGCTGTCTTCAGGTGACGCATGCAGGTGAACACGGCGTGTATCGGTCTGGAGCGGCGAGGAGCGATAAAGCTCCGCAGAAGCCAGACTCAAACGTGCGGCTCTCCTCCTCCTTCAAGGGACGAGAGAATGTGAGGGAGAGAGAGCGGCGTTCAGCTCCGTCGTGTACGTGCTGCTTAAAGCTCATCACATCTTTCTTCAGATCTTAACGTACGCACGACAGGCTCGGCCCGAAGGTCAGAGAAGCGAGCTTGTCCCCCCGCGGCGGCAGGATAAAAGCTGGGTGTGCGGCGTACACGGCGCTCTCCCTCCTCTTTCAGCCCTTGAGCTAAACCCTCCAGTGGATCTGCTCAGTTAGGATCACGATATTTCATTAATACAGTATTTATACACGGACGCCAAGTCTTTTTCAGTCCACTAGAGAAGAGTTTTCCTCTGGAGACACAATTTAAAGTTTGAAAAAAGTTTAAAATGGCCATGATGTCGTGTCGTGGGGCGTCTGGCGACCCCCCTCCAGTAGCGGTGTGACTGATCCGGGTCTTCCTGTGTGAGGGAGGCTTCCTCTCAGGGAAGCTGCTTGTAACTCTGCAGGCGGCTCTCTGTAATGTGTAAGTACTTATTAAAAGAACAACAGCAGAACGTTTGCAGATAAAGAAGCGTGTAAAATATAAAGGAGAGCGGGGACGTATCTGAAATTTGAGTTTGAATTTGCACCTGACCCGCTGTGTTTCTGTGTGCAGGGGGCGGAGTCGAGGCCGAGCCCAGGTAGAGGACGAAGAGAGCACGGATGCCGCGGAGACCAAACCCCCCCAGAAGACCGGTGGAGAGCGTGCAGGTACGGAGGGGTTCGTCCTGACGACATCGTCAGTCTGTCTGAACTTTATTCAAACCATCAGAACTTTATTTAAATGTTCCTGAGTAAACGCAGCAGAGCAGGAAGTCCTGAACCACAAAGGTCCGGGATCAGGCGGTCTGACGGGACAAAGCAGGGCTGCAGTGAACTGTGACTGGATGTAACCATTGCTGTGTGAGAGTTTAAGTGTCACGTGGTCGCGTTGGTGCGCGTGCACGGCGATCATTAGCATGTGGACCGTCTCGCTCACAGACACGTCTAAAAATACAGACGTGCGAACAGAGAAGATTACGAGGCGAGTGTGAAGACCGATCTGTGCCGAGGTGTCAGCTGAACCTGCACGTGCAACACGTTACTGCACGAGGGTTATAGGGAACCCAGTTAAAGTTACGCTCCTGCTGGAACGTGTAGTGCACCATTATTTAAGGTCCTGGATCCTCTGATTGGACCTCGTCTCTTGTGGTCTGGGTTTCTAGTTAACTTTGCTCTGTGGTTTTGTGTCATGTAGCGTCCGCAGAGGCGAAGGAGGTCAAGGAGAAGACAACGGGACGCCGCCGGTCCACCTCCAGGAGAAAATCCACAAACACAAATCCAGAACCCAGCCAGGACCCGCTCAGCCCGCAACCTAAGCCGGACCCTGACCCTACGGTCCCAGAATCCTGCCCAGAACCAGCTCCCAGTGCTGAGGAGGAGGACAGAACCGGCCCTGCTCCTGCTGCCCCGCTCGCCGCCTCCAGCCCAGGACCAACTTCCAGTCCTGGGGAAGAACCTCGGGTCAGTCAGCCCCCCTCCCCCGCCCCGTCCCCTGAACGTAGCCCGGTCCACAGCCTCGCCTCCAGCCCCAGACCTGCTCCTGATCCTGTGGAGGAGGACCGGCCCAGTCCGAGCCACAGCCCCGCGCCCATGGAGGTAGACCGCAGTCCTAGCACGGTTCCTATGGAGACAGATGGGGGCGGGGCCAGTCCCATGGAGCGCAGTCCCACCATGAGCCCCTGCTCCAGTCCTCCGATCTCCCCCCGTCCCCGACTGGAGGACGAGGACTCTCTGTCCCCCCTGTTCCAGCGCTGTCTGTCGGAGGACTCGGGGGCCTCGCCGACCGCCAGCCTGGGACACACCAAGCAGCGGTGAGACAGAGCGTGAGGGGGTTTAAGGTCCAGGCTAGAACCGGGTTTAGGCTCAGGGTAAAACCTGCAGCAATGACAGTCTGATACACCAAACTAATTAATAATAATCTGTATTGATCCTCACCTGACGAGGGTCACTGCGTCCGCCTAAAGTCTCTCTGTCCTCGCCGTCTCTTGCAGTCTGAAGCAGTGTGCCTTCTGTTACCGTGGCGACGAGCCCCCCCTTGGCCAGGGCCGCCTGGTGGTGTTCGGCCCGACGCCGGGCTACATCCCGCTTCACATTCTCAACCGCCGCGCCTCCCCTGACCGAGACAACGACTGCCACGACCACTGCTACCGCGGCGACCTGGCCCCGCCCGCGTGAGTACTGACCTCACTTCCTGTTTACGTTTTCAGTACACTCAAGTTTTATTGTGTTAATGCGATCAATTAATCGAGTGTGTGTGTGTGTGTGTGTATGTGTGTGTGTGTGTGTATGTGTGTGTGCAGGTGCAGCAGTCCAGAGCAGAGTGGTGAGTACTCTCCATCCTCCTTCCAGAAAATACATAATACTGATCGCCTGCTGATCACGTGTCGATCGTCTGTCGATCGCCTGCTGATCACCTGTCTCCTGACCTTTCAGAGTCTTCCTCAGAGTTTGTGCAGCAGCTCGGACCCATCGGCCTTCCACACGACATCGACGTCCAGTCGCTGTTTGACCCCACAGGTTCGTCTCGGCAGCTCCGTCTGTTCGTTTACCTGCTGAGTAAAGTTTCATCAGGTAACCCCCCCCTCTGTCTCTGTCTCTGTCTCTCTCTCTGTGTGCAGGTCAGTGCTGCGCCCACCTGCAGTGTGCCGCCTGGTCAGAAGGGGTGTGTCGTGGCGAGGGCCAATCGCTGCTCTACGTGGACAAAGCCATCGACTCAGGAAGCACGCAGGTGGGTTTGTGTGTCATCTGATTGGTCGCTGCTGTTCATTTTCAGGAGGAGTACGATGTCGCTAAGCCCCGCCCCCCTCTCTCTTTTACCTGTGCAGGTGTGTGCATTCTGCCGCCGGCTCGGAGCGTCGCTGCGCTGCCAGGAGACGAACTGTGGGCGGAGCTACCACTTCCCCTGCGCCGCCGCGGCCGGAGCTCACCAGGACTGGAAGCAGAGACGCACACTGTGTACAAGACACACTCACGCAGGTACAGACACACACGCAGGTACAGACACACACACGCAGGTACAGACACACACACGCAGGTACAGACACACACGCAGGTACACACACACACGCAGGTACACACACACACACGCAGGTACACACACGCAGGTACACACACACACACGCAGGTACACACACGCAGGTACACACACACACACGCAGGTACACACACACACGCAGGTACACACACACGCGCAGGTACACACACGCAGGTACACTCACGCAGGTACACTCACGCAGGGACACGCACGCAGGTACGTACACGCACGCAGGTACGTACACGCACGCAGGTACGTACACGCAGGGACACTCACGCAGGGACACTCACGCAGGGACACTCACGCAGGGACACTCACGCAGGGACACTCACGCAGGGACACTCACGCAGGTACACACATGCAGGTGCACACACGCACGCAGGTACACACTTGTTGTTATGGTGATATGTTTTTCTGGCCGGTGTGTTGAGTTTGTTTGGAAACACACTTCACTCGCTCTCTCTCTCCGCAGTGTCCTCACAATGCGTCTTGTGTTCGGGCAGCGGTGACGTCAGCGGCGTGTTGATGTGCTGTTGCTGCGGTAACTGTTATCACGGCAGCTGCCTGGACCCCCCCCTGACGCCCTCGGCCCTGTGCAGGACCGGCTGGCAGTGTCCTGAGTGTCGAGTGTGTCAGAGCTGCAGGTACGACAGACAGCTTGTTTCTCTGACTGATGGATCGTCTGCTCTCAGAGTCGCCTCGGTCAGACCAACTTTTAGGCAAAAATAATGTGTCACGACGCCGCCACGTGTCCATAACACGCCCGCTCTGACACTAGTAGTTTCTGGTGGTCTACCCCCCCCCGTATTAAAGATCCTAGTGGAAACGCTGAGTACATTTTCTCTCATGTTTCTGGGTTAGTCTCAGTGTTTCCAGACACAGTTAGCAGCTAGCTGGTGAAAATGGGGCAGCAATTAGCAGCAGATTTCCCTGCTGAATAAAGTGCTGTGCACAGTTATACAATTAAAACAACAAGAAGAAAAGAATAAAAAGGAGCATATAGTAAAACATACGACAGTGATGAAGCAGGCAGCAACAAATAGAAATATGAAGCGACCAGGACAGTTGATGATGGACGTCCCTAGATTGACTCAATGCCAACAAATAAAAATACGTTTTAAGACGTGACTTGAAGGTCTCAGTGGTTAGGGATGATCTAATGAAAATGGGAGGTTTGTTCCACAACCTTGGGTGCTTTACTACGAAAAAGCACGATCAGCCTTTATCAGGCGAGCGTGTTGAATAGCTAAAAGGAGCTGGGATGACGATCTGTGCCCGGCCTTAAAAACAATAAAAAGAACCTTAAAATCCACTCTGTATTTGACTGGTACCCAGTGAAGAGATGTGGTCCCTCTTCCTTGTACCAGGCAGCAGTCTAGCAGCCGCATTTTGCCTCATGTTCTGTAACTGTTGGAGGTAAAATAAGCAGCTGCTCAGCCTCCAGTTGATGTAGCTTCAGTATAATGTGATGTTTTCTAGATAGCTGACATGAAACGGCATGAAACCAATCTCCAACAGTCATCAGGTGGCAAAAGTGTCTGCAGGAAGGAAGGAAACACGACCCTCTGCTTCCTGCTGTTTGTCTCTGTGCATCTGATGTCGGGATAGAGTGAAAACATAGATGACTGTGTTTGTGTGATAAAGCTGAAACCAGGTGGCGTCAGACCACGTCTGGAGGCAACAGTGTTCACTTCTGTTCGACCACATTGAAAGGCGGGCTGAATAGAGAGGAGGGAGATAACGGAGCAGACAATTTCTCCTGGAAGACACGCAGCGTTGAAACGTGGAGGTTTCAGACGGCGTTTGACAATCTGACCAGCTTTGTTGTTGAAGTGCACTCACCCCGCTGTCCTCTCTCTCTCTGTGTGTGCGTAAGGCTGCGAGGAGATGACGGCGTGTTGCTGGTGTGTGAACGCTGTGATAAAGCCTACCACACACACTGTCTCACACCACCTCTGGATCACACACCGAGCACCAGCTGGAGCTGCAAGGTGACAAACACACACTGTGGACAAACCTGTCCGGTATATGAGGGGGGGTGTGTGTGTTTTAAAACCTCCCTCTCTCTCCTGCAGAACTGCAGAACCTGCCGCCGCTGTGGTGTGAGGTCATCAGGCCAGTGGGCCAATCACCCGTTTCTGTGCGAGTCGTGTGACCCGGCCCTGCCCTGCCCTCTCTGTGACCATGCCCCTGATCTCTACACACCACAGGACTATCTGACTTGTATCTGCTGCTTTAGGTACACACACACATTACATCTAGAGCTTATCTTGCAAAGTTAAAAATGAAATCAAATGAAAATAGTTTGTTGATTTATCTAAGGTATTTGACTCAGTCGATCATGACTTACTGCGATCCAAATGTGGGTTTTAGTAAAGAGGTTGGGAACTGGTTTAGAAACTCTCACTGATAGAGCTCAGTGTCTGTATCGACAATCACATGTCTAAACCCCTTGAGATCTCCAGCGGTGTGTCCCCCGGGGCTCGATCTTGGCTCCAGTTTTATTCACCATTTTCGTAAATGATATTGGAAAACTACAGCTTCATCATTGTTAAAGGATCTTGATTCTGCATACCATGCAGCGTTGCATTTTATTACACTTGCTAAATCGCGCACCCATCACTGCAGATTATATGATATGGTGGATTGGCCGTCATTAGCTATGCGGAGACATCTACATTTGTGTATCTTTATTTATAAGGCACTCATTTGCAAATTACCGCGTTACATTAATAGCCTCCTCAGCTTTGCGGTCAGTAGTCATCATACCTGGTCCAGCAGGCTGCTGCTCTTAAAAGTTTCCAGGGTGACTACAGTGCACCATTAACTTGGAACTCCTTGCAAAGGACCCTTGGCTGGAGGTACTGGTACCTCTTGGGAAGTTCAAATCCTTGATTTACAGAGGTTTTTAAAGATAAATGTAACTGTTTTTGAATAAGCAGACATTATATTGATGGATTTTAACTGCTCATGAAGTCTTAATGTACTGGTTTGATAGTGGGTTGCGACTGCTGTGTTTTTGTATAAAGGTAAAAGGGTAAATATTTTGATTCTAGTTTGTACTGCTGTTTTATGTCTGTACTGTTAAACTTGCTGTCCTTTTCCTTTCTTGGCCAGGGCGCCCTTGAAAAGAGATTTTATCTCAATGGGGATTTTCCCGGGTTAACTAAAGGTTAAAAAAACACTTCCTTTAGCTACTTCACATTAAAAGCCTGAAAAGGCCTGATGTGGCTTTTACTGTGAGGGTTACCGGCAGACTGGGGCTCAGTTTCATGCTTTCGCCCATAATTTCTGTTCTGCAGGCTGAACTTCCTCCTAAGAATGATTGAAACTCAGCAAACATACATGTTTTTTTTGTTGTGTTACAGGTGTGTCCATAAAGAGTGTATTGTCCAGGCTGGGGAGGGCAGGGCGGGGTCTGAAGATTACGTCTGCTCCACCTGCAGGCCTCAGGAGGAGGAGCTAATCCCACACACTCCAATCCCTCACACTCCTACCCCGGCATCGCCCATCAGTCCCACGCAGTTAGCACCTGTTAGCATTTCACAACCACCGATTCCAAGTGACATCTGTTCAGAGCCACCACAGAGTCCTACCAAGACCCTCTGTATGCAATCGCAGCAAAGTCTTACGCCATCTCACCCTGAACCCACTGAACTCCAACATAGTCGTCCTGCGCCATCTCACCATGAATCCACAGAGCTCCAACATAGTCCTGCACCATCTCATCCTGAACCCACAGAACTCCAATACAGTCCAGCACCGTCTCACCATGAATCGACAGAGCTCCAACGAAGTCCTGCACCATCTCACCCTGTACCTGCACAGGTCAAACACAGTCCTGCCTCATCTCACTCTGAACCCACAGAGCTCCAACATAGCCCTGCCCCATCTGACCCTCAATCCACAGAGCTCCAACATAGCCCTGCCCCATCTGACCTTCAATCCACAGAGCTCCAACATAGCCCTGCCCCATCTCAACCTGAACCCACAGAGCTCCAACATAGCCCTGCCCCATCTCAACCTGAACCCGCAGAGCTCCAACATAGCCCTGCCCCATCTCAACCTGAACCCGCAGAGCTCCAACATAGCCCTGCCCCATCTCAACCTGAACCCGCAGAGCTCCAACATAGCCCTGCCCCATCTCAACCTGAACCCGCAGAGCTCCAACATAGCCCTAGCCCATCTGACCCTCAGCCCGCAGAGCTCCAACATAGCCCTGCCCCTTCTGACCCTCAGCCCGCAGAGCTCCAACATAGCCCTGCCCCTTCTGACCCTCAGCCCGCAGAGCTCCGACATAGCCCTGCCCCATCTCAACCTGAACCCACAGAGCTTCATCATAGCCCTGCCCCATCACACCCGGAACTCACACAGCTCCAACAAAGCCCTGCTCCATCTCACACGGAACCCACAGACCTCCAACATAGCCCTGCCCCATCTCACACGGAACCCACTGAGCTCCAACATAGTCCTGCGCCATCTCACCTTGAACCCACTGAGCTCCAACATAGCCCTGCGCCATCTCACCTTGAACCCACTGAGCTCCAACATAGTCCTGTGCCGTCTCACCCTGAACCCACTGAGCCCCAACATAGTCCTGCGGCGTCTCACCCCGATCCAACAGAGCTCCAACAAAGTCCCCCGCCATCTAACCCTGAACCCACTGATCTCCAACAAAGCCCTGCCCCATCTCACCCAGATCCAACAGAACTCCAACATAGTCCTGCGCCGTCTCACCCCGATCCAACAGAGCTTCAACATAGTCCTGCGCCGTCTCACCCCGATCCAACAGAGCTCCAACATAGTCCTGCGCCGTCTCGCCCCGATCCAACAGAGCTCCAACATAGTCCTGCGCCGTCTCGCCCTGAACCCACTGAGCTCCAACATAGTCCTGCGCCGTCTCGCCCTGAACCCACTGAGCTCCAACATAGTCCTGCGCCGTCTCGCCCTGATCCAACAGAGCTCCAACAAAGTCCTCCGCCATCTAACCCTGAACCCACTGAGCTCCAACAAAGCCCTGCCCCATCTCACCCTGATCCAACACAGCTCCAACAAAGTCCTGCATCATCTAACCTTGAACCCACTGAGCTCCAACATAGTCCTGCGGCGTCTCGCCCTGATCCAACAGAGCTCCAACAATGTCCTCCGCCATCTAACCCTGAACCCACTGATCTCCAACAAAGCCCTGCCCCATCTCACCCTGATCCAACACAGCTCCAACAAAGTCCTGCATCATCTAACCTTGAACCCACTGAGCTCCAACATAGTCCTGCGGCGTCTCACCCTGATCCAACAGAGCTCCAACATAGTCCTGCGGCGTCTCACCCTGATCCAACAGAGCTCCAACATAGTCCTGCGGCGTCTCACCCTGATCCAACAGAGCTCCAACATAGTCCTGCGGCGTCTCACCCTGATCCAACAGAGCTCCAACATAGTCCTGCGGCGTCTCACCCTGATCCCACTGAGCTCCAACATAGTCCTGCGGCGTCTCACCCTGAACCCACTGAGCTCCAACATAGTCCTGCGGCGTCTCACCCTGAACCCACTGAGCTCCAACATAGTCCTGCGGCGTCTCACCCTGAACCCACTGAGCTCCAACATAGTCCTGCGGCGTCTCACCCTGAACCCACTGAGCTCCAACATAGTCCTGCGGCGTCTCACCCTGAACCCACTGAGCTCCAAGAAAGTCCTGCGGCGTCTCACCCTGAACCCACTGAGCTCCAAGAAAGTCCTGCGGCGTCTCACCCTGAACCCACTGAGCTCCAAGAAAGTCCTGCGGCGTCTCACCCTGAACCCACTGAGCTCCAAGAAAGCCCTGCGCCGTCTCACCCTGAACCCACTGAGCTCCAAGAAAGCCCTGCGCCATCTCACCCTGATTCAGAAGAGCTCCAAGAAAGCCCTGCGCCATCTAACCTTGAACCCACTGAGCTCCAAGAAAGCCCTGCGCCATCTAACCTTGAACCCACTGAGCTCCAAGAAAGCCCCGCGCCATCTAACCTTGAACCCACTGAGCTCCAAGAAAGCCCTGCGCCATCTCACCCTGATCCAACAGAGCTTCAAGAAAGTCAAGCGCCATCTCACACTGAACCCACAGAGCTCCAAGGACGTCCTTCGCCATCTAACCCTGATGATGCAGAGCTCCGGGAAAGCCCTGTGTCACTTATTGTTGATCCTATACCATGCCCTGCTGGTCCGGCTGAGCTGCAAAAAAGCCCTATCTATGTGACTTCCAAGCAGGCTCAGCATAGTCCTCGACCGCTCACTTACACCTCTTCAAGCCCCACACAGAATTCCACAGAGCATCAGCTCATGTCCACAGAGTCTGAGCAGAATACAATGCAGGGTAGTCCTATGCCTTGTAGCCATGCACATTCTCCGAACAGCCCACACCAAGCAGGACTTAGTCCTATTCGGGTTCAGCCAGGGCCTGGTGAGCCACCACAATGCCCTCCACCACATTGTCTTGCTAAGGGCAACACTTCACAGACGCAGCTTGAGAAACCATGTAGTCCTTTGAACATCATCACACAGATTCAGCACAGTCCCCCACAAAGACATAGTCCTGCACAAGTCGGCACATCACATCCACAGACTCTAACACAGAATGCTGAACCTACACTGGACCATAAGAGTCCTGGATCAAGCAGCCCTGCACAGCTGCAATGTGGGGTTGCACAGGACATTTCTACACTGGACCAGGACCACTCACTTGTCTTCTGTAGGTCTACCCATCCAACAAGAAGACACGCCTCAAAGAGGCCCATTTCAGCTCCATGTAGCCCAGCACTGGCCCCACACAGAGCCACGCAGTGTAGTCTGTCACAACCTGCAAGCCCAGTACAGGCCCACTCTTTACAACCTGTTAGGCCTTCACAGCTTAGCCTACTTCCTTCTTTGCTTGATACACAGTCAAAAAAGGAATCCAACCAAACTGGTACCACAGAGCTGAAGTCTTCAGAGCACAGCCCTATGCAGAGTCTTAACGTTGATGGCCAAACACCGGAAAGTAGCCCTATCCCTCTTAGCCACACTTCTGACCTGTCTGCAATGCCACCGGATGGCCACGGCACAGATGGCAAATTCCCAAACCAGCTTGGTCCTGTTCAGAGTAGTGCGCTTAACCCGGACCATTCTAGCCCCTTTCATGTCCATGCCATGCCCACACCAGAAAGCCTTGTTCACATTAGCACTTCACTGGAACACTGTAGCCTGACTTGCTTGCCTTGTGCTGATGAAACGGAGGAAATTCCTCCCCCAGCAAGCCACATTCATCAGAGTCCTTCTTGTGAATGCCCATCAAGCTTCACAGAAGCTATTGAAGGTAAAGCCAGCCCCATACATATCCAAAATAGCTCAGCTAGTGCTAGTCCCAAACATGGCAGTCAAATGCCTACTAACCCTGTCAGCTCTCTTCAGGCTTGTGCTAGTCCAGTACCACAGCAGAATAGCGCTTCTCATGTCAGTCCTCAAGCTGTAGAGACTAGCCCCTTAACACAACCAGCTAGCCCTGTAACGCTTCGAGCTAGCTACTCTGAGCAACCAATTGACTGCATGGCGCCACCTGTTACATCCTCAACACAACCAGCTAGCCTATCAGCAGTACTGGCTACACCCATCCACCCCATCTCCTGTCAGGAAGAGGAGATGGAGCTAGCTGTCGACCACTCTAATCGCGATCAGTCAGAAACTTGTCCGAGTCATCCTTTCTCCACTCCGGACAATCCAGTACATACTAGCCCAACTCATGCTAGGCCAGTCATCACACAAGCTAACAGTGGCTACAGTCTGATGGGCTCCATGCATGCTCAAGATGGGATTAGTCCGTCTGTTGGTGGTGTTGCAGAGCTCGCACAGACTGACACAAGCCAAAGTCCCACACATCCTGGTCAGTCAAGTTCCTCACATGTACAAACTACCTGCAGTCCTTTGCAGACTTCGCCAGTACAGACAAGCCCCCTGCCTACAACAAACTTTAGTCCTCCACACTGTAGGCTGACTGATACTAGCCCAGCTAGTAGCCCTGTTAGCCACAGTCTGAGCCATTGTGGCCAGACAAGTTCCTGCTCTGCTTGCGTAAGTGACGTTAGCTTCATCATCAGTCCACCTAGGTCTAGTCCTGCTGGTCAAGCTAGTCCTGTTCACATACAAAGCACTTCTAGTACTGCCCACTCAGGCCCAGTCCAAAGACGGAGTCCCTCATTAGCTAGCATGACATACAGCAGCACTGCACATGCTACTGTCACTTGTGTTAGTCCACCTCTCAGTCCAGCTCAGGCCAGTGAAACATATTGTAGCCCCACAGGTAGCCCCCATTCTAGCCCAGCTCCTCACACTGGAAACGGGTATGGCCTTACTGTGGCACGGCTGAGCCCCGCTTTGCCTAACTCAAGTCTTGATGTGAAGGAGGAGGTCAGTTCTGTAATTAAGAGCTCTGTTCTTCCCGATGTGGTTCAGCTTGATTCTGGTCTTGTTAAACATACAGACTGTATTAGGCAGACGAGCCCAACACCTGCCAGTTCCCTACCTGATGACTCATCTGCTGTTAGCCCCATTCAGGCTAGACTGAGTCAGGTTAGCCAGTGCCCAGCAAGTTCTCTCTATACCCACGATGGGTATGCTGTTGGAAGCACTGCCTCGGGAAGCCCCTTGTATCAAAGACCAGTCACTCCTGTTGATGCCACTTACACTCAGGCCAGTCCGAGCCATGCTAGCCCTGACCATTCTTCTCCCACTCAGGATAACACTGCGATGCCTAGCACAAGCCACACTAGTGAACCGCCCTCTGCCCCCTCACAGGTTAGCCCTCCTAATTCTCCACATGCTCAAGCAGGCTCTGTGCACACTAGCCCAGTTGCTAGTCCTGTTTGCGACCCCTTGCAATCAGGTCATACCCAGGTTATCCCTAGCTTGGTGCGGCTAGAGACTAATCCCAGTCCTGCTACTCCTGTGCAGCCAGAGGTTAGTCCCAGTCCTGGTCCTGCAAGCCCTATGAGGTGTGAGGCTGGTCCCGGTTCTGTTAGCCCTGTTCTTGCCACCCCTGGGCAATCTGAAACTAGCCCTAGTCCTGGTCCTACTAGCCCTGTGCAGCTTGATGGTGGTCCTGGTCCTGGAAGCCTTTCTGTTTCCATCCCCCAGCAACGCACACAGACAGAGAGGAGGGAGTCTGCATCCACTGTGGGTGAGTATCTAGGAGACACTGATAATCGTGGTCGTTACTGTGACTCCAGATCGTTTGTGGAACTCACTTGGTTTGATGAGTTTATAAACGTCTTCATCTGCTTTTAGATGTCAGCGTGGCTGAGAAAGAGGAGGAAGACTTGGAGAGAGCAGCTCCACAGCAGGAGGAGGTGGAGGAGCCTTATCAGACGGCAAAGCAGAGTCCCGAAGTAGGAGAACAGGATCAGAAGAAGGATCAGCACAGCAGCTCCAACTGTTCCTCAGGTAGGAAGCTCTGTTGACTCTCAAACTGATAAGATAACTTGTATACCTTTTATTAAGTTAGTTCTAAACTTGTATTTAGTTCAGTACTGGGAGGTTTAGTTCAGATGAGGCAGGGTACCTCGGCTGTGAGGGTTAGTGCAGGTGAGGCGGGTTACCTCAGCTGAGATTACTGAGTCACTCTGAGTCGAACCATGGTGGTCCATATCTGAACCTTTCATCCTGATCTCTCGCTCTCTGTAGGAGTCCAGCTTGGATCTGTACTGAATGAAGACCATCAGTCTCCTCCTCACACTGCTGCTTCTGCCTCTCCCCTCCTCCTGCAGCCAGCTTCTCCCTCCCCTCAACCCACCACAACACACTCTGCCTTACCCCTCCAACAGCCCTCTTGCTCTCCGTCATCTTCACCTCCTGCCTTCCCCCTCCCCTCACCACTATCTCCTCCTCCTAGAGCTGGCTCTCTGGAGGCCTCCCCCACCTCCTCCCCTCACAGGACTGCCTTACTCCCCTCCTGTTCCCCCCACACTCCACCTTCTCCCTCCCCTCATCTGGAGGACCTCCCCCAGGAAGAGAAACCTACTAATCAAAGAGAAGCCGAGACGGGGACGGGAGCAAAGTCTGAGCTAGAGGACAGAACGCTTTCCTGTCATGTGACGTTGGCAGATGACAGCCAATCACAGCGCCAATTTGAACCTGTTGCTACAGCAACAGACCTCACCAAAGATAAGCACCAATCACAAGCTGAGCCTTCAGAGAGGGAGGAGGAGGAACCTCCTGAAACGCCAGAACAAACATCACCAGCCGGGTCAGCTGCTCATAAGGTGGTTGCAGGACAACAGCCGATGAGGGAGAAGCAGGATGCGAAGGAGGAGATGAGAGCGAGTGGTGTGAAGGATGAAGAGGAAGTGGAGGAGGAGAGGGAGGGCACCGAGCAGGAGGAACAATCAGATGTGGAGGAGGAGGAGCCAGTGAGCCCAGGGCTGGAACTGGAGCACTCTTTAGACATGGAGGTGTTGGAGCTGATGACGTCATCTCCTCCCCCCTCCCTCCTCCACCTGTCCTCCCACAGCCCGCCTCCCTTCTCCCGCCGGGGAAAGGGTCGGACTCTCAGACCTCCTCTCTGCTCCTCTAGGCCATCAGATGACCTCGCCATCCGTCTGAGGCAGTCTCCCTTCTCCACAGAGGCCTCCCCTGAGACCTCCCCCACCAGAGCTCCCATGACCCCGCCTCCGCTCTCCCCGCTGTCACCTCCTCTCCGGTCCTCCCCCGCTACCAGAGAGTCTCCACCTCTCTCCAAGGTAAATCTGGTAAATAAGTCTCCTTCTTTTACCTTCCAGTGACAGTTTCCTCCTTGTTTTCTCCAAATAGTGACAGTTTCCTCCTTGTTTTCTCCAAATAGTGACAGTTTCCTCCTTGTTTTCTCTAAATAGTGACAGTTCCCTCCTTGATTTCTGCACCTAGTGACACTTTCCTCCTTGATTTCTCCACCTAGTGACAGTTCCCTCCTTGATTTCTCTAAATAGTGACAGTTCCCTCCTTGATTTCTCTAAATAGTGACAGTTCCCTCCTTGATTTCTCTAGTGACAGTTCCCTCCTTGTTTTCTCTAAATAGTGACAGTTCCCTCCTTGATTTCTCTAAACAGTGACAGTTTCCTCCTTGTTTTCTCTAAACAGTGACAGTTTCCTCCTTGTTTTCTCTAAACAGTGACAGTTCCCTCCTTGTTTTCTCTAAACAGTGACAGTTCCCTCCTTGTTTTCTCTAGTGACAGTTTCCTCCTTGTTTTCTCTAAATAGTGACAGTTTCCTCCTTGTTTTCTCTAAACAGTGACAGTTCCCTCCTTGTTTTCTCTAAATAGTGACAGTTTCCTCCTTGATTTCTGCACCTAGTGACAGTTCCCTCCTTGATTTCTCTAAATAGTGACAGTTCCCTCCTTGATTTCTCTAAATAGTGACAGTTCCCTCCTTGTTTTCTCTAGTGACAGTTTCCTCCTTGTTTTCTCTAAATAGTGACAGTTTCCTCCTTGTTTTCTCTAAACAGTGACAGTTTCCTCCTTGTTTTCTCTAAACAGTGACAGTTTCCTCCTTGTTTTCTCTAAACAGTGACAGTTCCCTCCTTGTTTTCTCTAAACAGTGACAGTTCCCTCCTTGTTTTCTCTAGTGACAGTTTCCTCCTTGTTTTCTCTAAATAGTGACAGTTTCCTCCTTGTTTTCTCTAAACAGTGACAGTTTCCTCCTTGTTTTCTCTAAACAGTGACAGTTTCCTCCTTGTTTTCTCTAAACAGTGACAGTTTCCTCCTTGTTTTCTCTAAACAGTGACAGTTTCCTCCTTGTTTTCTCTAAATAGTGACAGTTCCCTCCTTGTTTTCTCTAAACAGTGACAGTTCCCTCCTTGTTTTCTCTAAATAGTGACAGTTCCCTCCTTGTTTTCTCTAAATAGTGACAGTTTCCTCCTTGATTTCTGCACCTAGTGACAGTTTCCTCCTTGTTTTCTCTAAATAGTGACAGTTTCCTCCTTGTTTTCTCTAAACAGTGACAGTTCCCTCCTTGTTTTCTCTAAATAGTGACAGTTCCCTCCTTGTTTTCTCTAAATAGTGACAGTTCCCTCCTTGTTTTCTCTAAACAGTGACAGTTCCCTCCTTGTTTTCTCTAAATAGTGACAGTTCCCTCCTTGTTTTCTCTAAATAGTGACAGTTCCCTCCTTGTTTTCTCTAAATAGTGACAGTTTCCTCCTTGATTTCTGCACCTAGTGACACTTTCCTCCTTGATTTCTGCACCTAGTGACACTTTTCTCCTTGATTTCTCCACCTAGTGACAGTTCCCTCCTTGTTTTCTCTAAATAGTGACAGTTTCCTCCTTGATTTCTGCACCTAGTGACAGTTTCCTCCTTGATTTCTGCACCTAGTGACAGTTCCCTCCTTGATTTCTCTAAATAGTGACAGTTCCCTCCTTGTTTTCTCTAGTGACAGTTTCCTCCTTGTTTTCTCTAAATAGTGACAGTTTCCTCCTTGTTTTCTCTAAATAGTGACAGTTTCCTCCTTGATTTCTGCACCTAGTGACAGTTTCCTCCTTGATTTTTGCACCTAGTGACAGTTTCCTCCTTGTTTTCTCTAAATAGTGACAGTTCCCTCCTTGTTTTCTCTAAACAGTGACAGTTCCCTCCTTGTTTTCTCTAAATAGTGACAGTTTCCTCCTTGTTTTCTCTAAATAGTGACAGTTCCCTCCTTGTTTTCTCTAAACAGTGACAGTTCCCTCCTTGTTTTCTCTAAATAGTGACAGTTTCCTCCTTGTTTTCTCTAAATAGTGACAGTTTCCTCCTTGTTTTCTCTAAATAGTGACAGTTTCCTCCTTGATTTCTGCACCTAGTCACAGTTTCTCCTTGTTTTCTCCACCTAGTCACAGTTTCCTCCTTGTTTTCTGCACCTACTGACAGTCTCTTCCTTGTTTTTTCCTCCTAGAGACTGTTTCCTTGTTGTTTTCCTCCTAGTGACTGTTTCCTCGTTGTTTTCTCCTCCTCCTGACCATCTCGTCCTTGTGACTGACCTCTCCTTGTATATTTTCTGTTTCCAGCCACAGGCACTTCCCACCACTGTGCTGCCCCTCACCCCTAAAATCGGAATGGGGAAACCAGCCATCTCTAAGAGGAAGTTCTCCCCGGCAGAGCCAGGGTCAAACAGGTAGGTGACCTCTGGACTGTGTGAGTTTGAACCTTTGTGCTGTCATCCTGCTGGCTTTAACCCCAGCTTACAATATGTGATGGAGATGAGCGGCACCGGGACTGAAACTAACCATGGATTTATTTATAGATCTAATTTTATTAATCGGTTAATTGTTCAATCGTCAAACAGCTCGTCTCTTTCTGTAGTCGTCAGTGTTCAGATGAATATTTCTGCCTGACTTTGTCCCAATGAAAACAAAGCTAATTCCAAAGTCTGGACGTTATGTTATTTTTAGATATTTTGGGAATGCTTTTCTAAGGAACCTGAGATCTGGCTTGTAGTCCGCCAATTGACACTTTCTCAAGCTAGGGCTGCAACTATTGATTGTTTCATAACCAGTTGGTCTGCAGGTTTGTTTCTGGCTCCGCACGTTAATCATTTCTTCTGTCCAAATATGAAGCTTGTTTAACGTGTTTATCCCGTCACTCAAGACTGTGAGCAACAAGCTGAACTGAGAAAATGCTTGAAGTAACTCATAAATCAATGACAACAAAGTTTCTGAGTGTTTCTTTAGATTGATTTAAGCATCTTTTATTTTTATTTTTTTTTACTTTGTCAAATATATTCGAAGAAGTTGTTTGAATTACATTTTGTTAAAGCTGGTTCAGGTCCGTCAGTCCTCTTTCCTCTGTTCCATCAGCCACCTCAGGATCTGTGTGTTAGAGGAACCAACACACTAGTCTTCCTCTTCTTTCTCACCTGTCATTCACTGATGCTGCATCCATTCTTTCTTTACTGCAGCATGTTGAGTTCACACTCATCATTGCATGAAGCTGTTTGTTTGAATGTTTGTGTTATAGCCTCATCAAAACTGGATTATCTCTGGATCAGTGGCTCTATGTCCGCGCTGATTTGGGCTTCATATTAATCTTAGAAATGAATAGAATCCTAGAATAAAGAATATATGTATTATTATTATATATGTAATAAAGTATTTGTAAAGCAGTTTTCTGATGAACGCCTCCTCATTAACAGCAGATAGGCGACACAGACAATCAGATACGAGCTAGCTAGGCTGCTACGTACACTTAGCATTGGTTTCAGCTTGTTCATAACGTTCTGTTAGCATCACGATCTCTTTAGCTCCCAATATGACTCTCCTGACTGGTTGCATGTTGTTGTCATAGTAACATCGTCTCTTTTTGACTTTGTTTTCTTGCCTGATTAATTTTTTCAGTTTGACTTTTTGTTTCGTGGCTGTTGCATTTATGTTACTGCATTTTGTCCCCCCTTCCTCCCACCTCTTCTCTCATCCGCCTTCCTCTCCTCCTCCTCTTCCTCCCCCCTGACTCAGGGTTCGTGGTGGAGTAATCGCAGGGCGGTGAGCCCCCCCTCGTCCTCCCAGGATTCCACGGGGGAGGGAGGGTGGGACAGCCCTAAGCCCCGTCCTCCGGACTCCCCCCTCTGGAGCATGAGAGTGGTAAAGAAGCACACCCTAACTAACCATCAGCTTACTAACTGTGTTAACTCACCCCACCCCTCTGGGATGTAACGATGTGAAAAACAAGTGCACCCTAACTTCCAGTCTGCCTGTCTGTGTGCATCCACCCCTCTGGGGTGTGAAGGTGGTGCAGATCTGACGTCAGGTCAAGGGTTTTACCGGCTGCTCACTGTGCGTTGCTTATTACAGTGTGAGTGTGGTGGGCAGGGCCTAACCTTGAAGAAGAGCGCTGCAGGGTCTGATTTACTACAGGGCAAAGTGTTTATTAGATTTATCGAGGGTGAAGGCGGGGTTTGATGGCCGGGCTCCAGTTTAACCGTAGAGAGCTGATTTCTGGTGGCAGCGCAGGGAGGCTCCTGATTAAAGGGTTCCCACAGGCCTGGAAAGTTAGTGGATTGGAGAAAAATACTTTTAACCTTTTGAACACATTTAAAGTAAACACAAGTAAACATTAAAATGTAGCAGCTCGATCTGGGCTGACGGACGGAACAGGAAGTGTCCTTACATTTGACCGGGAAATAAACCTGGAAGTTCTTAAATGCCAGGTCGGTGAGGGAACCCTGCCGTTGTCAGTGATGTTTGTGAAGTACGCCCGGTCAGTAACACAGTGAGGTCATGGTTTGATGTTACTCCCCGTTTTTTCCTCCTCCACCTCTCCTCGCTCCTCCTCTTACTTCTTCATTCTCCCCCTTCTCTACTTGATACACCTCATCCTCCCTCTCCCTTTCCATACCCCCTCTTTCTTCCTCCCCCCTCAGGGTCGTGGTTCAGGGTTTCCAGGAAGGAGGAGGTCCAGAGGAGGAGGTCTTGGAGGAGGAAGAGGAGGGAGAGGAAGGAGCCGGCTGAAGACTCAGGACACTGTGACCGTGTCACCTGGAGTAAGAACACAAACACTCTTGTACTTTGTTACTCAGCTGATTGATAGAGGATGTAGAAGGTATTGATTTCTGTCTCCGTCAGTGCGGTGTGTACGTGGAGCCGTTCCAGCCAAAGGAGGAGGAGGAGAGCTCAATGCACAACACGGTGGTGATGTTCTCCACCTCCGACCACTACACCCTCAAACAGGTACACCTGCACCTCCACCCACCAGAGTCCCATTTAAAATCATTTGATTCTAGAGTCAGTATGATAACCTGAGTGTCAGAGCTCAGTCTAATAACGTACTTAAAACCAACCCTGAGTTTAGGTTCATCAGTGCTGAAGGGACAGTTTCATCCCAGATCCAGAAGACGACCCTCTTCCTTTAGGCCTTTTCTTTTCTAAACGTGAGACATGACAGACTTCCAGACTCCCAGCAGCCTCAGCTGTACGCTGTGTTGACTGCTAATGGCAAATGTTAGCATGCTTAACCTCTTAACATTCCAACGTCAGGTCCTGGCGGCAGCTTTCAGTATGTGCACACAGCTGCTATGTTAACTTCATACTTATATGATCCACCGTTTGAAAGCTTAAATCCCCTGATTCGACTAATGCAAAGCATTTCAAGATACAGTCACCACAGCGGGTCCAATCAGCGCCTCTGTCAGACCAACCAGTACAATCAAAAGTGACGCGACTCCCCTGTGAAGCCTCACAGTAACTTAATCCACCGATCGATTATATTCCAACAAAAACGGTCTTTTTACGTTGTCAAAGGTCCAGATGATCAAATCCACTAAAAATATTTAGTCCAAAACACATTATTCCATCAGTAAATCCCCAGGGACGGCTGCGGTATCGTTTCATATTTGCCGGCAAACGTGGCTCTTATGTCATCATAACCGTAATAACGGCGATTTGATGTAAACAACTACGATAGCTTGTATTCAAATTAGCCACTGAACTCTGACATTTCGAGTGACTCCAAATCCGACCCAATAGGAGCTCACATGTCCCTTTCACCGCCTACAATAGCCAACGAGAGCCCGCGCTGTAAGGATGGGCCGTCCCTATTATTTCGTGGGTAGGCTGAGCCAAATGCAAGCAACTGTGCCGATGACTGGCACTATGTGTAGCCAATAAAATTCAGAAAATCATGATATCCAGCTTTAAGTAGGAAGTTCATGATCTACCAGCAAAAAAACACGTCTGCGTCGAGCTACCGGCTGATACGCAGCGATGCAGCAGCAGCCGCCTGCCGCCAAGGGGCGGGACTGTTTTAGAGAAAATACGCTAAGACATACACTTAGAAAACGTAATCCTGTGGCCCTACAGTGTTTTCCAGCTGTTGTCGTCTGCATGCATTTGTTAGCAAACATTTTCAAACAGAAAATATATTGGTTTTAGTGTGTTTAAACTTATATTAATCAATTCAAGTAGCTCTTACAGTCATTCGGTTAAAAGCTAAGCTAAGATGGGGAACAAGGTAAACGTTATGCCTGCTAGGTATTAGCATTTAGCTCAAATCAGCGCTGTGTCTCAGTATAGTCTCACAGATCAAAGTGCAGTTTGAATCAACCCACTGAACTTTAAAATCATATAGAAACAATAAAAAAAATAGCATAAAAGAATGAAATGAAGCAACTGACTGGCGTGAAGAAACTTCAGTAGCCTTCCAACATCAAGGCCATACTGTCTGCCTGCAGGTCGATTCACAGAGAACATGTGCTGGTTTGAATATGTAAATGTGTCCAGGCCTAAAGTCTCACACAGCCCCACTTAAAAGCACAATATGCAGGTAAAAATCACATCATAGCAGGCTCGTACGACGTAAACACTTTTTCTACCGAACCCTTTCTTTGGGCTGTTAAATGTAAAATGTTGTGTGAACACCAGCAGCCGCAGAGCTTCATTTAAATTAATGAAAGTCTGCAGCTGGAGATTGAAATAATCAGGAAATGTGATCAACAGCATTGTGAATGTGAACAGATGTTTGATAATACTCAGAGCTACAGTTCAGTCAGTAGGCTGCTGCTCTGCTCTCACCAGTCACTGTGTCAGTAAATGAGCATCTGTGTGTGTCTGTGTGCAGGACATGTGTGTGGTGTGTGGGAGTTTTGGTCAGGGAGCTGAAGGCAGACTGTTGGCCTGTTCTCAGTGTGGACAGTGTTACCATCCCTACTGTGTTAACGTCAAGGTCAGTACGAGTTAATAATCACCAGATAATCAATAATGATCAACGTCTTTGAGATGATTTTAAACAGGACATCTGTTACTGTTACTCTGACCTGGTCTCTGTCTGCTGCTGCACAGATCACGCGGGTTGTCCTGACCAAAGGTTGGCGCTGTCTGGAGTGTACAGTGTGTGAAGCGTGCGGCGAGGCCAGTGACCCCGGACGACTGTTGCTATGTGACGACTGTGACATCAGCTACCACACTTACTGCCTGGACCCGCCCCTTCATACAGTACCTAAAGGAGCCTGGAAGTGCAAGTGGTGGGTCGGCCTGTCAATCACCTGACTACCTGTCTGCGTGTGTGTTTCCTGCTCTCTGACGGTGTGTGTGGTGTCCTCAGGTGTGTGTGGTGTCCTCAGGTGTGTGTGGTGTCCTCAGGTGTGTGTGGTGTCCCCTCTGACGGTGTGTGTGGTGTCCCCTCTGACGGTGTGTGTGGTGTCCTCAGGTGTGTGTGGTGTCCCCTCTGACGGTGTGTGTGGTGTCCTCAGGTGTGTGTGGTGTCCCCTCTGACGGTGTGTGTGGTGTCCTCTCTGACGGTGTGTGTGGTGTCCTCAGGTGTGTGTGGTGTCCTCAGGTGTGTGTGGTGTCCTCAGGTGTGTGTGGTGTCCCCTCTGACGGTGTGTGTGGTGTCCTCAGGTGTGTGTGGTGTCCTCTCTGACGGTGTGTGTGGTGTCCTCAGGTGTGTGTGGTGTCCTCTCTGACGGTGTGTGTGGTGTCCTCAGGTGTGTGTGGTGTCCTCTCTGACGGTGTGTGGTGTCCTCAGGTGTGTGTGGTGTCCTCTCTGACGGTGTGTGTGGTGTCCCCTCTGACGGTGTGTGGTGTCCTCAGGTGTGTGTGGTGTCCCCTCTGACGGTGTGTGTGGTGTCCTCAGGTGTGTGTGGTGTCCTCTCTGACGGTGTGTGTGGTGTCCTCAGGTGTGTGTGGTGTCCCCTCTGACGGTGTGTGTGGTGTCCTCAGGTGTGTGTGGTGTCCTCTCTGACGGTGTGTGTGGTGTCCTCAGGTGTGTGTGGTGTGTGTGGTGTCCTCAGGTGTGTGTGGTGTCCTCTCTGACGGTGTGTGTGGTGTCCTCAGGTGTGTGTGGTGTGTCCAGTGTGGCTCCACCTCCCCCGGGCTGCACTGTGATTGGCAGAGTAACTACAGTCGCTGTGGACCGTGTAGCAGCCTGAGCCGCTGTCCTCTCTGTCAGAGACCGTACTCGCAGGACGACCTCATTCTGCAGTGTCAGCAGTGCGACAGGTAACACTCGCCTTAACCTTGAGGTCACACACGAACCAGGATTGAGGTCTCCTTCCCGGTGACCAGCTGGTCTTTAAAGAGACGGACTCTCTCTCTCTGTGTGCAGGTGGGTCCACGCTGTCTGCCAGGGCCTGACCACTGAAGATGAGGTGGAGGCGGCTGCTGACGAAGGCTTCGACTGCTCTCTGTGCCGCACGCAGGGCCGCGGCTCATACGGTAAACCCTCACAGCAGCTGCCCGCGGCGATGCCCGGCTCGTACTAGCTGTGTCAGCTACAGGGCCGGCTCGCCACCGTGTGTCAGACTGCGGCCCCGTCACCATTAACGGTCTGATTAGGAGAGCGTTGCTTTGGACGACCTGCTGGTCAAAGATCTGTGGGGCTGACCGCAGGACTGCCTTTTATTGTGACAGCCGATCTGACCGTGACTGTGGTGTGTCTGTTTCAGGGAGGTCGGACACTTTCGAGTCTCCCTACATGGCCCAGATCGTCTCCAGGACCAGAGAACCCGGTCAGTGTGTGAACAAACTGTGCAGCTCGAGCGCTTAGTTTGAGGAACAGATCCAGTGTCTGAACCTTCAGCCAGTTTGATCCAGAAGCACACAGGAATCATTAAATGTAACCACAGTAAATATTTAATCTGTGCAGACTCCAAGACGTACACCCAGGACGGCGTGTGTCTCACAGAGTCCGGTCTGTCTCACCTGCAGTCTCTGGTGGAACCTCTGACGTCCCCGCGCAGGTACCGCAGGTAAGCCCCTGGTGTCTTTACTAACCGCTACTTAAGTCCTTATGTAGGCAAGCCCCGCCCCTCGGCAGCCATGTTGGGAAGGTCATTATAATTCTAACTGGTGAAATAAGAAAACATGAAACTGCTTGTTCTCCTCGCCGAGACGTTCCCGAGGTTTTAATGTCCCCCCCCTCCCCCCAGGTGTAAACCCAAACTGAAGCTGAGGATCATCAACCAGAACAGCGTGTCTGTCCTGCAGACGCCACCTGACCCCGACCTCCCCGCTGAGCAGGACCACGGCAGAGGTCAGAGGTCACGCACTCAAACACAAAACAAAGAAACACACACACACAGGCCTGCTGTGTTGACCCCCCCGCCCGTCTCTCTTTTCCAGGTGAGTTGGAGTGTGAGATGAAATCCGACTCCAGCCCAGAGCGAGACCACGCCCACGACGATGATGTCACCAAGGAGCTCGAGGCCACTGACGCCAACAAGAAGAGGAAACGGAAACCCTACAGGCCAGGTCTCAGATCTCTCACCTGTCTCCCACCTGTGTCTCACCTGTCTCTCACCTGTGTCTCACCTGTCTCCCACCTGTGTCTCCCACCTGTGTCTCACCTGTCTCTCACCTGTGTCTCTCACCTGTGTCTCACCTGTCTCTCACCTGTGTCTCACCTGTCTCCCACCTGTGTCTCACCTGTCTCCCACCTGTCTCTCACCTGTGTCTCTCACCTGTGTCTCACCTGTCTCTCACCTGTGTCTCACCTGTCTCCCACCTGTCTCTCACCTGTGTCTCAGGTATCGGGGGCTTCATGGTGCGTCAGCGTGGAGGGAAGGCCGGTCCGAGCAGACTCAAACTGTGTAGAAAAGATTCCACGGAGACGCTGCCCGGTCGAGACGGAGGTGAGACGGCGCTCGCCTGAACCTGTACTGAGACCAAACTCATACACACGGTTTACTTTACTTAAAGCTGCGTGTGTGTCACATGACAGGCCTCCTGGGGGCTGATGTTTCCATGGAGACGGCGCCCCCTGCTGACCAGACGATGGACAAGGTGAAGAAGAGATACCGAAAGAAGAAGACGAAGCTGGAGGAGGCCTTCCCTTCTTACCTCCAGGTAACGCACGCACACACTCAGACGCAGCTCGCCCAGTAAAATCCAGCGTTCTGATTGCCCCCCCCCCCCCCCCCCCCAGGAGGCGTTTTTCGGTCGGGATCTTCTCGACCGGAGCCGGCAAGTGGACAGGAGGCCGGGGCCGGAGACACCGCGTGGCAGTGACCTGAAAGGCCCCGCCCCTGGATTACATGGCCCCTCCCCCACGGGCCTGCCAGTCGGCGCCCTGGCGACCAACGCCATCAAGAAGCAGGGAACGCTGCGTGAGTTATTTTATATTTTCTTCATCACATTTGCACGAATTCATCTTCCGTCTGTGCCGGTGCACGTGGTGAACCCTGCGTGTGTGTCTGTGACCATCAGCCGTGTCGGAGGAAGCCCTGCTGGATCTGTCTGACGTTCTCAGCACTGACCCTCACATTCTGGCTACAGGACACTCAGGTACAGCCCTCCCTCACAGCTCCATCCTTCAGCTTTCAGACTCTGAACCCTGATCTCTGTACAGGACACCAGTTTCCTCTCTGCTCCTTCCTGATCTTCCAACCCTGGGAGGTAGTAATGACGCGCCGCTCATTGACGTTACTAATTTAGCTCATGTTAACTTGGATAGCAGCCAAAAATCGGCGGAAACTAAGTAACTTAAATCTTTTCTGCTCGACTCGCGCTGGTGTTTGTCACGTGTCGACAGGAAGTGGCTTAAACTGCAGCGAGACGATCTCCTTTGACAGCAGAGTGTTAATGATCGTGAGCGAAGCGGAGAATTCGTGTGAAAGTCGGCCTCAGTGAAAACTCCCTGCTTCCTTTTCTGGAAGAGATGGATGTTCACTGTCAGGACACGTTTGTTCAGCCGCCGCCTCCTCACCAGTGTTCACGCTCGTCACGTTGCGTCCCGTTATTCGTTGTCGTGTCCTCGTCTCTGATGCAGTAAAGGTTGGTCCAGTCTTTATTCGGACAGCAGCACCGCGACAGGAAGCAGGACCACTGGATGATGAAACCAACGAAGAAGAGCCCTGATGCCCTGATGGAGTTTAAAGTTGTTTCTCTGTTTTCAGGTCAGTTCCAGGTGGAGCGCTCCCCGTCTCCGTTTGGTAAGACTCCACAGGAAGACCTCTTCTTCTTCTCCTCCAGATAACTGACTGCTGCTTCTTCTTCTTCTTCTTCTCCTCCAGATAACTGACTGCTTCTTCTTCTTCTTCTTCTCCTCCAGATAACTGACTGCTTCTTCTTCTCCTCCAGATAACTGACTGCTTCTTCTTCTTCTTCTTCTTCTTCTCTTCTTCTTCTTCTTCTTCTTCTTCTTCTTCTTCTTCTTCTTCTTCTTCTTCTTCTCTTCTTCTTCTTCTTCTTCTTCTTCTTCTTCTTCTTCTTCTTCTCTTCTTCTTCTTCTTCTTCTTCTTCTTCTTCTTCTCTTCTCCTCCTCCTCCTCCTCCTCCTCCTCCAGATAACTGACTGCTGCTTCTTCTTCTTCTTCTTCTTCTTCTCCTCCAGATAACTGACTGCTGCTGCTTCTTCTTCTTCTCCTCCAGATAACTGACTGCTGCTGCTTCTTCTTCTTCTCCTCCAGATAACTGTCTTCTTCTTCTTCTTCTTCTCCTCCAGATAACTGACTGCTTCTTCTTCTCCTCCAGATAACTGACTGCTTCTTCTTCTTCTCCTCCAGATAACTGACTGCTGCTTCTTCTTCTTCTTCTTCTTCTTCTTCTTCTTCTTCTTCTTCTTTCTTCTTCTTCTTCTTCTTCTTCTTCTTCCTCCTCCTCCTCCTCCTCCTCCTCCTCCTCCTCCTCCTCCTCCAGATAACTGACTGCTCCTCCTCCTCCTCTCTCCTCCTCCAGATAACTGACTGCTCCTCCTCCTCCTCCTCCTCCTCCTCCAGATAACTGACTGCTCCTCCTCCTCCTCCTCCTCCTCCTCCTCCCCAGATAACTGACTGCTCCTCCTCCTCCTCCTCCTCCTCCAGATAACTGACTGCTGCTTCTTCTTCTTCTTCTTCTTCTTCTCCTCCAGATAACTGACTGCTGCTGCTTCTTCTTCTTCTTCTCTTCTCCTCCAGATAACTGACTGCTGCTGCTGCTTCTTCTCTTCTTCTCTCCTCCCAGATAATGACTGCTGCTTCTTCTTCTTCTTCTCCTCCAGATAACTGACTGCTGCGCTTCTTCTTCTTCTCTCTTCTCCTCCAGATAACTGACTGCTGCTGCTGCTGCTTCTTCTCCTCCAGATAA